AATGCCGGAATGAAGTGTGATATAATGAGAACATTTGTGATATGTTTGTTATCAGGGTCAGGGAAGATCTAGCTGCTAAGGTGACATGAGCCATTTTTGGTGTTATGGTCACTGTCACAGCCTCCGACAGTCCCCTCAAACTGCGGTAACAGATACTTGCTGTTGTCTTTGCTCAGCGCCTGTTCCCCCTCCTGTCGGTAGCATAATGGTCTATTTCCTTGGAAGCCACTCGGGCTCCACCAGGAGCTCTACCACCAGCACATTCCATCCCTGAGCTGCGGAGGGACGGGCAGAGGCTTCGCAGGAAGTGGGCGCGCTTTCTGGTACCAACAGCCCTGATGACAGAAGACAAGAGTGGAAAGCAGAGCAGAGGCATGGCTCAACAGAGACCAAGTTTGGGCCTCATCCTGTGAGCTGCCGGATCTATAGCATTCTGCCAGCTGCACTGGGCTCTTCAGTGAGGGGGTGGTAACTTTCTCAGCTGTCACTTTGAGTTGGGTTTCTGTCACTTGCAGCTCTCTCTTTTAATCTGTTCTTTAGACCGAATTCAAATGAGTTGAAAATGGAAGATTTCTAGACTTTTTCTCTTGTCCTAACACTCTACTGGATTATTTTTTTTTGGGGGGGGAAGGCTGGTCCTGGAGCTTGAACTCAGGGCCTGGACAGTAGTCTCTTTGTGCTCAAGACTAGCTCTCTACTACTTGAGCCACAGTGCTATTTCTGGCTTTTTCTGAGTAGTTTATTGGAAATAGGGGTCTCAAGGACTTTTCTGTCTGGGCTAGCTTTGAACAGCGATCCTCAGATTTCAGCTTCCTGCATAGATAAGATGACAGACGTGGGCTCCTGGCACCTGGTGCCCTCGAGGATTTTGTCTTTTGCACGCAGCCAATTTCTTCTTGGGCATCCAGGTATTTGAATATACGTCTCACTTTCTCAACAATTCAGAGAACTCTAGGAGAGCAGGAGCAGTAGCATTTAGTTATGTATCTCCCTGACATCAATACCAATAGTTGAGCTTTCTTCTCTTTTCTGTCTCTCCTCCCCCCTCACATTCTCTCTCTCTATTGCTCCTCTCCTCTCTCATCTTTCACAGAAATACAAATGAACTATATATGACAGACACATAACCAATGGCTGCATATCCACTACTAAGATGTAGTTTTTCAGTCGCTCTGTTCAGGCTGCAGGATGTGAAGAGGAATGCAGAGGACAGAGCCTGGAGTGCAAGCCCTAATAATAATGAATAAATGAACAAACAAACAGCGGGGGTGGGGGATGACGAGGAATCGGTACGACTGAATCATTAAAAAGATGTAAGACAGGTTAGTGGAAGAGACTAATAGAGGGGCTGAATTGGACCAAAGTACATTATATGCATATATGGAAATACCACAACAAAATCCCTCTGTACGATTAACAGACACTAATAAAACTTTTTAAAAAATCAATTGCCTTACAATAAAGAGCTTCATCAAAAGCAAATTCAAAAGGCATCATGTCTCCTCTGAGCAGTCCTCGAAAGCAAGTTAAGCATCAGACCACATTTACATTTCTATAAATTTTATGCTAATTTAAATGGCTTTAGATTTAATTAAAAATGTTTTTCAGTTGATAATAATGTAACTCAGATAATTAGCATCCAGTAACATCTAGAGGACATATTTTAAAAAAATAAAACTAATCTAGAGTATAAATAGACCTAATTAACAATTAGAATAACACTTTATAATTACGCTTTGTTTGTAAGTGATGTGGCCGTGAACGTGTCTCTTAGCTGCCCCGGCTTTCATGCTGATTCTTTTCTTGCTAGGTTTTTTTTTTTTTTTTTGGTCAGTTGTGGGGCTTGAACTTAAACACACAGCCTTAAGATCAGAGGACACTGAGGGTGTGTGTGTTGAGAATGGACATGGTGTCTGGAAACAAGAACATGATGTTGGAAACAGGAGAATGGATGCCCCAGAAGGAGGAGGGTGAACCGAGGCCCAGGATGATAAGCAGGAGTGTGGGGGAGAAGGGGCATTTGGTGCATTTGTGCAGAAGGACTGCAGAGGTCTCCCTGCGGGGTGGAGGGGAAAGTCCTGGCAGCTGGCACTTGGGAGCTGGGAGGGGGACGGCTCTAGACCAGTACAGACTTCAGGACCGTCTAACAAGAAGCCAATGCTGCCCTGACTTTCAGGTAACAAAAACACACACATGGTAGTCTTTCATTCTTTCTTTCAGTTTCTTCCTCTTTGCTTCCCACAGGAGGGAACTAAAGCTTGGAGAGAGAAGAGGACTTGAACCAGGGTCTCTGGGACCCTAAAAGGTCGAGCCGGGACTGTGACCCAGGGCTGAAATACGCACCTGCCTGCAAACCTCCCATGAGTCTGCACAGTTTGACAACTCAACCGCGACAGAACCCCGTAAGCTTCTCACTAGGCTGAACATGAAACTGTCTGAAGTCCTCATCCCACACCGAATGGCAGAATTAAGCTGACAGAAGTCCACTGCTACAGACCACGGGGTGCGCTGCGAGGAGGAGGCTGGTGGGCGATCTTCCCAGCACTGTTGTGGCAGTGGTCATTTATCGACATGCAGCGCAGGCTAAGAGCTAATGTTTCCAGCGTGGTACACGCAACTTTGCACACAGAGAACATCAATTTAAAGCACTGTTCTTGGCTGCCTCCTCTCAGCAGTCCTAGTTTTCAGATGAGAAAACTAAGGGTGAGAAAGCAAAGGAACTTTCCCCAGAGCGGATTCCAGTAGGTGGACGATGCGTATGGGCTACAGCCTCAGCTGCTTCAACACACACACACACACACACACACACACACACACACACGCACACACGCACACACACGCACGCGCGTGCCCCAGGACCACTCCCCTCTCATGAGGCATGCTTTTTTCCCCTCTTTTTGTACTTTTAGAAATGACCTCTTCCACATTCCTTAGTGGTTGGGGCAAGGAAATTATATTCCGCACTATCCTCTGATTCAGTGGGACTGTAAACTGGGTGTGGTAGTGCATGCCTGTAATCCTAACACCTCAGGAGGTTGGGGCAGGAGTTTGAGACCAGCCCGAGCACCATGGTTTACCAATAGCTCTAATGCAATTGGCCAAGCGACACAGGGATAGAGGTTCGTGTTGGAATCTCTTTGTACAAGTCAGGTTGACACTCTGCCTAAGTTCCTGGCTGTTCATTGAGTCTTTGACCACTTACCACTCCATAGCTCAGCTCAAATCTATCATCTATACATTGGAGAAGATGCTGTATATCCTAAAAGGCTTTTTAAGAAAAATTTTTGTTGGTTATGGGGCTTGAACTCAGGGTGTGGGCGCTATCCCTGAGCTCTTTCGCTCAAAGTGACACTCTACCACTTTGAACCACAGTGCCACTTCTGGCTTTTGAGTAGTTAGTTGGAGATATGAGTCTCATGGGGACTTTTCTGCCTGGGCTGGCTTTGAACTGTGATCCTCAGATCTCAGCCTCCTGAGTAGCTAGGATTACAGACGCGAGGCAATGGTACCAAGCCTGAAAGGCACTTTTTGGAGTGTATAAACTTAATGTATATGAGCCATACCAAGTAGTCCCCAGACTTAAAAAAGATAATCCACTGAAAGGATCTTAAACATGAGTTCTAAGTGGTCTCCAAAGGATGGAGGGGGGATGTACAACTACACAGATGAGATGCCAATGTCTGACTCTTCTGTTGACAAATCCTCACGTTCCAGAGCAACCCTGGTTTTTTGCTTGTTTTTTTTTTAATCAATTTCATTTATTAGGACTCTGTATAAAATGCCGTTGCAATTATTCATTGGGAAACAATGTTTATTTAGTCTCTAGGTTACTCTCATCTGACAGGTAGGAAAAAGTCCTGGAAGACAATGGTAGCTGAGCCCTGAGTATGAGGATGGACAGAAGAGGAGCAGCCACGGACTGGTACCATCCAAAGGGTGACGGGACAGCCTTTAGGGGTGCACAGTTACAAGTAACGGGCAAGGCTTGATGCAAGCCAGGAGACTGAGTGAAAAAACTAGACAACTGCTGAAAACCAACCCACTTAACATTCAAGTCCAGCCAAATCTTATCAATGGTCAATGTTTGCAAAATTCTCATTGTCTTCTCAGACAATTCTTGAATTGCCAATGCAATGAGAATGCTCAGGGAAAGGGGAGAGGAGAGAGGAGGGGAGGAAGAGAGGAGGGGAGGAGGGAGGAAAGGAAAGGAATGGGAGAGGGACGTGTGCACCAGTCTATTCATTCTCTTTTAAAGACAATCACCTCAGCACAAGGACTCTACATCTCACTGAGGTGTGAGTGCTGGGTCGAACTGGTGCCATCTTGGCCCCATGGTGGATAGAAAATTGGGTTTAACTGGTGCCGTCTTGCTTCATGGTGGGGGAAGTCCCACCTCCCAGGTGATGGGCATGCCTGAATTTCTACAGGCGAGGGCCAGGACTTGGACCTGCCAGTCTTGGGTCAAGAACCCTTGAGTTTCGTGTGACCCCGCCCCCTGCCCCTGACACAGTTGAGGCGGAGACCGGCTCAGGTGACTAAGGCCCTATCACGTGTTTCCCGTCTCCACGTCTCCAACTGACTCTCCTCCAGTCAACATGGCGTCCCACTTCAACTCTCTGTTGGTGTTGATCTGGTTTGTTGATACTGTTTCTCTGCTCTTTCTTTCCTCTCCGGCTCTCCTGGCTCAGTTTTCTAACGGTGTTAAGTGTATTCATTCGTGGGGCTGCAGGACTTTGTGACAGGAGTCCACCGGCAGACACCAGCTTTCTGAGACAGACTCTAAAAATGGACCTCTAAAAATGTAGCTTCTCTGAATCTCACCGAGTAGCTTTACCTTAGGACATCACGACCCAAGTATTTCACAGAGATCTCCAGACACCGTAGCGAGGGACTGGACCGTCAACACATCGGGACACTCTCTTGCCATGTCCAGCCCCATTACGTTTTCCTTTAAAATATACTTTGTAGCATCAAAACAGTGCAACGACTGCACGTCTTACCTAAGACTCTTAATCGCTCGGCCCCTACAACTACTTCATTGTCATCTGCAGAGAAGAGCAATTTTCCAGACACGGTTTTGACTTCAAACTTCTTGCCATAAGCTTCTACAGACTTCGGACCTAAAAAGGAAGAGAGAAAGGAAGAGCGGAGGAATGCATGAGTCTCCTTGTATTTGACAACAGAAAAGCTTTTCATAGAATGAGTTCATCTGATAGGACTGTGCTGGACTCTGCTGTCAACTGGACTGGTTTCAGAAGCCAACTGTGAAAATCAGTCTCTCGACTTGGGTCCTATCTTGTCAATCCCTTTTTTGTATTGATCAGTTGTAGGGCTTGGACTCAGCCACTGGGCGCTGTCCCTGAGCTCTTTTGCTCAAGGCTAGTGCTCTATCACTTTGAGCCACAGCTCTACTTCCAGTTTTTGAGTGGTTAACTGGAGGTAAGAATCTCAAGGAGGACCTTTGTGCCTGGGCTGTTTTGAACCTCGCTCCTCAGATCTCTCGGCCTCCTGAGTATTTAGGATTACAGGTGTGAGCCGCAGGTGCCTGGCATCAATGACTTGTAAGCAAATACCTTTGAGCTATAATTGTGAAGACTAGCCTGTCCTCCTTCCAAACTGATGCTGGAATGAGATCTATCAGCTGCTAAGTTTGTGTCAAAAGATGTAGACTTTTGGTCAAACATCCAGGGAGTTTACCACCTTTAAAGACCCCACAAAACGGAACTGAGATCTGTCTGTTTGTACCCTCGATACACAGGTCCCCTCGGATGCCCAGCTGAGTCTTTTTCAGAGTAGCCTGATTCACATCCGGTAGCAATGGCTGCAACTGATGGCAACTAACTAACGGAAGTTACGAGAGATTCACTCAATATTAACAAGAAAAGGCAATGTAGAGCTGCACTGGGTGCCCACAGCGACGGTTCTCGAAGGCGGGTCTCTAGAGCGGGGCGGGAGGAGCACAGGCTTCCAGGTCCCGCACTTCTCCACTGGAACTTAGGGATCTGTAGCAGACTGAGAAGCAAGACTAAGATGAAGAGTTTTCAGGAAGTGAGAGTTGGTGATTGAGGATCTTAACACTTCCCTCGAAGTAGGCAGAGGGCAGGACAAGACTTCGAAGGTCGTGTGAAGAGAAGTCACTAACATCAGCTAGGATGGGGAAAACGGGTGTTTTTGAAGGCCTGGAAAGTATTTATGGTTTTGTCTGCGATCAGACATAATCAGAGCTGTGTGTGTGTGTGTGTGTGTGTGTGTGTGTGTGTGTGTATACATGTATGGGCATGTGTCCATCAGGATGATAGAGTGACCCTGTCTGGTGGTGTTCTGTGAAATTATTTATAGTTAGACAAGACAATGTGCAGGCCTGGCTGACAGAGCCAGCCGGAGCCCTGCCTGGACTGCTGTGGTTGTCTCCTTGGCCAAGGTTATGAGACCTGGAGATGAGGGCCAAGCCTCAACTCACTCTTACTTTCTGGGAATGTGGCTTTGGGCGAATCATTTCTGATCTCCGTTTTTGTATCTATAACACGGAAGGAACACCAGCTCCTCAGTGCACCTGATCGCAAGGCTGAAAGGAGCAGATGAATTGATGGAAAGCTATCTGGAGGCAGGGGGAAGCATGGGAGAGGCGGGGGGGAGTGTGTGGGGGAGGGGGTGCGGGAAAGGCGTGCTTGCTTGCTCTCATGGTTCGGCTCATGGCTTGTTTTCACATCCCATCACCATTTTTGACTGCGGTGGATGGGACGCGTGGGGAATGATTGATGGTGAGTGCCTCTGGGCTGCACGTTGCTCAATCACATAATCACATCAATTTGGCAGGCCTCGTCTCTTGACAGTACATCCACACTGGGCACGGTGACACCAAAAGTGGACACTGGAGAGGCTCCTTCATGAAAGAGGGTTGTACAGAATGTGCAAGCCGCGTGGGTGCTAGAGGGGACCTTGTCCAGCTGCCTGTGTGCTGCAAGGGAGGAGAAGGAGCACTGGCCAGGATCGAGGCTCTCTCCATCAGCTGTGGCTGGTCTAAGTCAGGATCCAGCTCTCGAAACTGTCCTGTCGAGGAGGAGGGACGGTTGTTTGTCTACGGAGTGGAGAGGGCTGGAGCCGACAGGGCTGGAACAATGGGAGGTAATGGAGGAGGAGGGAAAATTGAAAACCAGACCCAGGGACTAGAGGGAAAGCACACCAGTGGCTCACACCGGTAAACCTAGCTACTCAGGAGCCTGAGATCTGAGAATGGAGGTTCAAAGCCAGCCCCGGGAAGGGAAGTCTGTGAGACTCTTATCTTTACTTAACTTCCAAACTTCCAAAAGAAGCCAGAAGTGGAGCTGTGGCTCAAGTGGTAGAGTGCCAACCTTGACAGAAAAAGCTCAGGGATATTGTTTAGATCCCAGTATATTCTCTCTCTCTCTCTCTCTCTCTCTCTCTCTCACACACACACACACACACACACACACACACACAGATGTGTGGTGAGGGATTCCTATGAGGTATTTCTGTGAGGGTGGAGACAGCATTAAAACCTTAGGTACAATCTGTCTGTCTCGTTAATACCTTTTGGGGTAGAAAGGCACTGGGGAGGAGAGGGCACTGATAGGCCGAGGAGGAATGAAATGAATGAATGACTGCGGGATGGGCACAGGCCAGGCAGAGTCTGCCCACTGTGGACGATCCACTCACAAAGCAGGACTAGGACAGAAGAACAGTAACGTGTAGACTCTGCCTCCAGGAACCCGGCCAAGGTCATCAGAGTGGATCTCAGGGGGTTGAAGTAGCCTCCCTCCTCTGTGGTGGGTGGTCAGAGATACGAGATCAGCAGGACTGTGGGTAGCCCACGCATGCGTGGCCTAACTTGGGACAATGAAAGCATTGTCACATGCCAAGAGATGAGCTCAACTTCCAACACTAGATTTCCTAATAAGCGTGCGCATGTGCGCGCGCGTGTGTGTGCGTGTGTGTGTGTGTTTTCAGGTACATTGAAAGAGTTCTGGAACCTTCAGGATGGCCCAAGTACATCTCACTGCTTAGAGGATTAGAGGATATCAGGGCTGTGTTTTTTCCAGCAAGCCTGGTGCCCTGTGAAGCAGGAATGAGACCTTAGGGCTTCTCTGGGGCCTCCCGAGGTGTGAGTATCTGCACAGAATGCTAACCCTGGAGGAGAACTTCGGCTGGGAGCGTCTGTTTATAATTCTAGAATTAGCTTTTGAACACAGAGATCTTCCCCTCAGACATCATCTTGCTGTGCTTCTGTGAGCTAGCGGCTTTGGCCCAACTCAGGGTTGTGTGAGCTCTGTCACGTGCTTCACCTGGGTGACTTTCAGTCTTGCCGGGGTCTAACTTGGGAAGGGGAGACAGAAGGACAGACTCCTGGACAGAACACCAAAAACACCATCTGAGTCAACCATTCTTCCGTGCACTGGCCTAAAACTGTTCAAACGGGCCAAACAAGCTGCGGGCTACAAGTCCCCGCTCACTACGAGTTCTGCTTTTATCCCACCCATAAAAGCCCTGCTAAAAACCAAATTGGCATGACCTCTCTGATCCTGACCAGGGAGTTCACCCAGGAGTGTAGTCCCCAATAAACTTTCCTGTCAATCTTTTTATTTCTCTCTGGGTGGTCCTTTTCTCGCCCAAAACCTTACAATAGGGGAAAAGGTTCTGGAGGGTGAGGGAAGAGAGAGAAGAGAAGGAAGGATCAGGACCAGGAAATGGAGGACTAGGGAGGATGGGCAAAAGAGAGGAAAGGAGGAGATGAACCAGGAAGAGGAGGGGTAGTAGGAACCTAGAAGAAAGGGAAGAAGAAAGTGGGGAAGAAGATAGGGGAAGAACACAGGAAGTCAGGGAGAAAGTGGGAGAGTAGGGAGAGAAGGAGCCGGGATCAGGAGAGGAGGAGGAGGTAGATGAGAAAAGGAGGCAGAGAGGAAGGGAAGGAGACAGAGAGGAAGGGAAGGAGACGGAGAGAGGAAGGGAAGAAGGAGGGGGGGGGCTCTTGTTGAATTGTCATGTGGACAGTTTCAATTTTATCAACAGAAAATCTTCCAAGTAAGTCTCCCAAGGCAGAATAAATAGCAAGTAAGCAACAGGCTCGCTAAGTTCCTTCTGAGCGAGGGAATCGGAATCGGGAGCTGGGGTCAAGGTTCACTTCACACCGGCCATGTAGATCACTGTTTCCTGGAGCTGCTCATTTAATCATTGGCCAGGCCCTGCAGCGGCCCTGCGCTGTGGGTGCATGGTGCTTGTGGACTGGAGCCCTGCCTCCCCTGAGCTGCCTGTGTCTCCCAATGCCTCAGCAGGGGGTGGGGGGGAAGGGGGCGGGCTCTATGCCTGAGGTGTGCAGAGACAAGGGTCTGCACGCGGAGAGGCACCTGCCACCCTGTTTTGGTTGCTTATTAGGGCGGGAGGGGGCTCCAGAAATTCAAGTGACAGCCATGACTTCCGGGACGTCGGAGTGACTGGCTTCTCAGAAAGTTTCCATCTGGATCCCTTCCTCTAGCCCTGAAGTCAAACAAATGGCGCATTTGTCTGGGAGTCTTAACAATGCCATTCAGATGCACGCGCCCCATGCCAAAGGCCTCTCTGTTTATAGCTGCTTGCAACCCACAGAGGGGGCATTGAGCAGAGGGCTCCCCAGGCTCCTGGTGAGCAGGGTGAGGAGCAACAAACAACAAACAGTTCTTGTTTAAATGTTAGGAATGTCCAGCTTCAGATGGGGGGGAGGTAGGGGTGGGGAGCTGGCTTTCCATGGAAGTGGGGGCCAAGATCGCTGCCATGAAGACAAAACACAAACAGAAACAGAACTACACAACCCTTTCGGGGGAGGGGTCGGGTCTGCGCCTAGCAGCAGAGCGAGCGAGCGTCAGCGTGGGCACGCACGGCACAGGCAGTATGTGGTGTTTCCAGCTAGCACTTAAAATAAAAGATCTCTTTCACAAAGCCCTCAAGTATGGCATGTGGGTTTGTGGGTGCCATCCATCCAACACAGCCAGAGGGGGGGGGCTCCTCCAGCACCAGAGAGGGGGAGTTGCAGCTGCCTGTCCTGGAGGTGTGGGGGTGACCCAGGGAAAACTGTCCTGGTTTAAGCATTGTTAGATTTGCTATGCTACCTTTGGGGGTGGAAGGGAGGATGCCTTTTAGGACAATCCTGGACTAGGTCCTCTTCTTTCTTTCTCAGTGGAGTTAACAAACTGGGGTTGCTGGCTCCTCCCCTTTCTCTTTCTCCTCCTCCTCCTCCTCCTGTTTTCTCCTTCTCCGGTGGCAGTACTAAGGCTGGTACTCAAGAGCATTGAGCTTAGTTTGATCTGCACCCTGCCTCCTGTGTGGGTGGGTTAGAGATGGGAGTCACTGGCTTGTTTGTTGCAGTGGGGGCTTCCCAGGCTGGCTTCAAGCTGAATCCCCTCCCCAGTATCTGAGATTACAGGTGTGCAGCACCATGCCCAGCCCAGCAGACTTCAAAGTTCACTGCAAGTCTACATTTTCTGGGTGCACAGCATAGACTAGGTATTTCTTTTCTTACCTGTTATCAGCTGAGTGAGCACCTTTGTCTGGTCGTTCAGAATGTTCACTGTCACATTTCTGGCAGATTTGAAGTACAGAGCATTACCCTGCAATAAGAAAATAAGACAAACACGGGAAAATGGCAGCTTTCTACACTAAAAGGACCATCATCCCAACTCTCCTGTGGGCTGAATTGGTTTTAGTCATGTTCCAATAGATAAACCTTTACTCAGGAAGTCTAAGTGCTTAGTGATAAACACTTGGACCTGATACCTATACCTATATAAGATAATAGGCACACATCCAACATAGCTTTCTCCCAGAGACAGATAAATAGGTACACATACAATGGCATATCTGTGCCACAGACCTATACACAGTACATATTTACATATCTACCAATCAATCCATTCACCCACCCAAGTATTTATGTATGTATGTATCCATCTATTACGTATGTATGTATGTATCTATCTATCTAATCTACCTACCTTCCTATCTACCCATCCTATCACATCTACCTACCTACCCATCCAACTACATCTGTCCTTACTATCAATGATCAATCTTTCTCTCTCTCTCTGTCTCTGATCTCTGTGCCATTACTCACTCCCTCCTTATTAAAAGGGGCCCACACCATCTTTCCCACTATGCTAAGCACTTTGGACTGTAGTTCAGATTAGGGCTTGGCAAATTTTCTCTGCAATGGATCTGCTACTAAAAAAATTGGCTTTTGCCAGGTGCCGGTGGCTCACGCCTGTCATCCTAGCTACTCAGGAGGCTGAGATCTGAGGATCATGGTTCAAAGCCAGCCCAGGCAGGAAAGTTGCTGAGACTCTTATCTCCAATAAACCACCAGAAAACTTGAAGTGGCGCTGTGGCTCAAGTGGTAGAGCACTGGCCTTGAGCTGAAGAGCTGAGGGACAGCGCCCAGGCCCAGAGTTCAAGCTCTACAACCGACAAAAAAAAAAAAAATTGGCTTTTGTGGCTTTCATATCTCTATTGTTACTACTTACTCTGTTGTTTAGATATAAAACCAGTCTTAGACAGTTCACAGATGTGGAGTAATGTATTACAAGACAATCATATTTCAATTTCACATCATTTAACTTTTACATTTTAAATGCTATTCAAATGCAATATATCATGACATATCCGTCTTTTCTTGTTTTGTTCTCCCACACATATTTTAGAAATGTAAAAGCCACTCTCAGTGTACTAGCAGGACGAGAACAGCCGAGAGGCTGTTGTTTGTCAGTAATCTTCCCATTGCTAGTCAGTGTCATCTAGTTGTGATTGGAAAAAAAAAAAGAGCAACCATTTAATCATTTTTGTCTTTCAAAATATTTGTTATCAAATGGCTTACACCTGCTTGAAAATTCACTAATCCACTGGTGTACTGAGTCCGTTCCAACTCCTCGGGAATTGTGAGGGCCACAAGAGGAGAGGAAAGGGACGAGAAGGGGAGGGGAAGGGAGGGAAGACTAGACAGGAAGAGGGTAGGAGTGAGAGAGGGAAATGCTGTGGGAAACAGAGAGGGAGATGTGGAGGAGGAGGATGACCTTGCTTTTCTGGTTTGTCTCGTCCCCTCTGCGGAGTGAAGCGGGGGTTTCTTCCATCTCTGCCTTTCTCTGCCTCCACCTGTCACAGAGCGCCCCTCCGTGACATTAGCTCAGCGGCCGTCCCATCTCAGCATCTTCAAATGCTGCCCAGCTTTGTCCTGCTCTGATTCCTGTGTGTGTGTGTGTGTGTGTGTGTGTCCTGCAACAGCCTGTGCCAAGGATGTGCTGTGCTTTCATAAAAGCACCCAGACCTTTTTTTTTTTTAAATGACAATGTCAGAATATTAGAGTTTTGTGTTAATTGTGCTAGTGTGCCAAGTCCTAGGAAACAGCATTCCTCAGACATCAGAGTGTAAGGTCTGCTTCTAGAAGATGGGCAGACTCCTACCTCCTCTCCTCCAAGTCTCCACCCAGTACCAGCATTATCCAGGCAACTGGCACAGCTGCATCCAGTGCGGCCACACCCCCCTCACCTGGCCTTACCTTTTCCCCACCCTTCCCTACTTAAACCCAGGTCAGACCTCGGCCTGTCCCTGTTCGGCTGCGTGGTCTCCACCATGAATGGCGGGCGGGCAGGCAGTTCAGTAAAATAAACTTCTCTTCTTGCCTGAATATTGTGTGGTGCTCTCTTTACCAGCTACCTATTTAATTGACCTGACATTTATCCTAACACCGAGTGTGCACGAAGGATCTCACTGTTGCCTGGAATGTGTTACCCTCGTCCTCTAGGAGAAAGACTGTCAGAGGAAGAGCCTCACAACGGGGCAGGGCCCTGTGATTCTGCCGTCTTAGGCCAGGATGGAGTCTGGCAGACTCTGGGGGAGAATGAGGAGCAGGTCAAGTCAGAGCTCAGCTGGCCAGCCATGGAGACAAGGCCGTCTGCGATACCGGAAGGCCATGCAACCACAATCACTGAAGAAGTGCCGCCATTTTGTTCTGGAATTCTCTGTACACTGACACTTGTATCTTTCTGCTGCTATGGCAGAATAGGCTGAATAGCATCCGACCTTTTTCTCCATGACGGAAGCCATGGAAATGCACATGATTTATTTCCATGTTCTCCTGGGGCTGCTTGCGCACGTGGCTAGTGTAACACTGAATGGCTTCATCATGCTGACATTTTAAAATTATTGTACCTGATTAAAGAAAATGTATTATTTATTCGTCTATCAAAACGGGAATGTGTAAATGCCAAATTGCTATGAGGCTTTTAGCATCAAGAGTAGCAATCCATGCCTCTCACCATCGCAAGAGTTATCAATTTGTCTGGATGTTTCTTCAGATATATATTTTTCCCCAGTAGGCTCCCCTCCTCTAATAAACTCCTATGTCGCTCTAGTTTCTTCATCTTTAGATGTTAATTTCTCCCATACAGTGTCCCAGTGGGTCTGACAATTAAGAATGTCAAGTGAAGCCGGGCGCTGGTGGCTCACGCCTGTAATCCTAGCTACTCAGGAGGCTGAGATCTGAGGATCGCGGTTCAAAGCCAGCCCGGGTAGGAAAAACCGTGAGACTCCTATCTCCAATAAACCACCAGAAAACCGGAGGTGGCGCTGTAGCTCAAGTGGTAGAGCGCTCGCCTTGAGCTGAAGAGCTGAGGGACAGCGCCGAGGCCCAGAGTTCAAGCCCCACGACCGACAAAAAAAAAAAAAAAAAAGAATGTCAAGTGAGTGGAACTGGGTGACTTGTATGTTGGCATGTCAAAGGATGGCAGGCTAAAGTGCAGAGTGTCTGTGTGTCCTGGAGTGGAGCTGTGTCTGTGTGGCCTGGTTGAGAATCTGCAGCTCTGCCTTTTGCTGATTATTTGTGAGAACAGGGTCTCCCTTCCTGCCTGGGCACACACGTGAACAGCAATCCGCCTGTTTCAGTCTTCCCATCTTTGCGGGGATGGCAGGCACATCCTATCCTGTCCAACTTCCCTCCAGGGAGGTGAAGTCTCATGGACTTTTTTTAACATGGGCTGTTCTGGAGCCCTGATCCTCCCAATCTTAGCCTCCCAAGGAACTAGTGAGAAAGAGAAAGGGCAACTGTTGGGCAGACAGGGGTAAAAGTGGTGGAGATGACGTGTGGCTGGTAACATGTGCCCAATTGTAGCATTTCTGTTCCCATTGTGCCCTGGGCTCCTACTCAAATGATTCTTCTTCCCATAATGCCCTGGGAGCTCACTCAACTAACAAGGTGTGTGTATAAGCCACCCATCGGCACAAAGCACAGGGGAGGAGGAGTGGGAGGAGCCTTGTGCTGTAGTGACTGCCCGCCCAGAAGACACCACTGGACTCCTGTTTAGGCCCCTCTCTTGGACAGTTTCACCACTGCCTTTGGCATTTTCCCCCTTTCAAATAAACCAACTTTGTTTATTGTAACCACAATCCTGCTTTTGCAACCTTTAATGGGTGGAGAAAAGGAAAATCTATTCTTCTAGATGGCTTTGCTGGGATTAGGGATATGAGCTACAAGCATTGAGCTTACTGTTCCCTTTTTAAAAGGAAAATTGGGCCAGACACCAGTGGTTCGTGCCTATAATCCTAGCTACTCAGGAGGCTGAGATCTGAAGACTGTGGTTCAAAGCCAGCCTGGGCAGGAAAGTCTGTGAGACTCGTATCTCCAATGAACCACCAGAAAACCGGAAGTGGTGCTGTGACTCAAAGTGGTAGACTGGTAGCTTTGAATGAAAAAAAGCTCAGGGACAGTGCCCAGGCCTTGAGTTTAAGCCCCATGGACAACAATTTAAAAAAGAAAAAAAGGAAAATTGGTTAATACTGAAGGCAGGTCAAGAGCAGGTTGTTGCTGGTTTAGGCCTCAAGAAGTTCTATGAAATACCCTCTATACCTCTATACATCACTAGAGTGCCTGGAACGTGCTAGATCATGTCCCAGGCCGAAGAGAATCTGAAACATGGAGGACCGTTAGCTTTAAGCGGCTCCTAGCCCCAAGAGGAGATGGAGTTAATGCAGAGTAACTGTGACACCCACGTGGGATCACTCTCATGGAGGTTTATGCTCTCCTGGCACAGATTTTAATATTTGCATTTAATCCCATCCGGAGAGCAGCGCGGCCTGTTTTGACACGCTGTGACAGTCAAGACATTGCTTCTCTTGGTAATCCCGCACTGTTCTCCTTTCCCGGGGCGGAGCGCTCAATCTGCTCTGGGAACTTAGATCACGCCAAGACAGCACACAGCAATTCCCATACCCGGGGAACGTTCTGGGCTCTGGGTGAGGGAGGTTCAGGGCAAGCAGGCTGGAACCCCAAGGAGAGTCTTCCCAAAGACATCTGGGCCAGCTTTGGCCCCTTCCTCACCCCAAGGTGGGGTCCCCCAGGAACATCCCTCCCAAGGCTAATCGGGTCACAAGAAGGGAGGCGCAGCGGTGCAGTCAGCTAGATCTGGACTTCATCACAGCTTCACGGTTTCAAAACTGCGCGTCAATCATTTCCCCGTGTGTCTCAGTTTCTATATCTATACAGTGAAGTTCAAGGCTACACCATGGTGGTATGGAAAGAATGAAAACGTGCTTCAACGATCACAGGAAAGCTCCCTGAGGCAGT